GGGCAGTTCTGCTTGTGACGATATATATATATATATATATATATATATATATATCGTCGAACGGAGCTGCCCGGTAAACCGTGGGCAGAGAGGGAGAAGAGGACAACAAACGAGGGGCTGTGACAAACTGTTTCGTCGGAGTTGTCACCGACTCATCAGGAGGCTGAACCATCAACAGTCAGCAGAATCTCCTAACTGATTACATTGTAAGTGATAATCCACCTTAACCCCGGCTGTGATTAAGCATCAACGACTGCCCGACAGCTGATTTATATCTATATATCGTCACAATATACATCTTTTATATATATATATATATATAGTGCCAGCGGCGTTGGAGTGTATTTTTTGGCTGTGTCAGACCTGTATTTGTTTCGTGGGTGTTTTGCTGCCTTGCGTTGGGGTGTGAGCCGACAGTCTGTAGAGTTTTCCATCAGATTCTGGTGTGGGTGAGTGGTAGTCTGCTTTGATTTTCGTCAAAGGTGCCTTGAGGGCAGTGGTTGGTGCCCACCTCAGGGTATCAGTTGTCGGGCAGTAGTTGACTCTCAATATATATATATATATATATATATATATATATATATACTTTATTTGACGATATATATGTAATATATATCTTCAAACAGAGCTGCCCGGTAAGCTGAAGGCACAGAGGGAGAAGAGGACAACAAACGAGGGGCTGCGACAAACTATCTCTCTCTCTCTCTCTCTCTCTATCTATCTATCTATATACATATATATATATATATACACATATATATATATATATATATATATATATCGTCACAAACAGAACTGCCCGGTCCTCTTTAGCTCGTGTCGCTAAACTGTTTGTCATCATCGGCTAGGAAATGGCAGGAGGCACACGTCTGCACAATTCTCCGTGGGGCTCAGCGTCCTCTGCTCTTCGCTCCATACTAGAAGATCGATCAGCATTGCAACCGTCTTAAGATACGGTAGACTCATTCCTTCCCCATGCCGCCCCGTCCTGGAGCAACTTTCACGGCCGTCGGGTCATTCACCCCTTGACTTGGTGGTCCTACGCGAGCATGGATGGACACATCGTTTCTCTCGAGCTGATTATGAGTCGTCGTTTTCTTTGGCTGTGCTTATGATCTTGCCTCTGCGTTCCTCATTAACCAAATCATCGACAACGATGAAACGGCAGAGCTGTACGAGCAGGCACTGAAGCACGAGAAGGGATCATTCATTACATCGGCGGGAGCCATCGCCACGCTTTCGGGCGCGAAGACCGGTCGTTCACCCAAGGACAAGCGCGTCGTCAAGGATGAGACCACCGCACAGGAGCTCTGGTGGGGAGAGTAAGTGTCTGCACTGACCTATTCGCTTGTCCGTTGCCTCTGACCTGTTTCTATTCGCTTTCACGGTTTCACCCCTGTAACCCCCTGTTGTCTTGTCGGTCCTGCTTTCCCCGCAGTCGCTTACGAGATATCCCTCTCTCTCTCTCTCTCTCTCTCTCTCTCTCTCTCTCTCTCTCTCTCTCTCTCTACCCCCCTTCTACACGCTCTCTCTCTTATACACATCTATATGTGTATAAGAGACAGCTCTCTCTCTCTCTCTCTCTCTCTCTCTCTCTCTCTCTCTCTCTCTTTGAATGATGTCTCTTATACACATCTAGATGTGTATAAGAGACAGCTCTCTCTCTCTCTCTCTCTCTCTCTCTCTTTTTGAATGAGGGATCTGAGACGGCGAGAGACTATATGGCCAACAAACGGTCTACGCGTGAGAGTCATACATGCTGACTGAAATTTAATGGCTAGCCAAACCGCGAGGTGTCAGACTACGGAGCCAAGCACGCACTTGCCGCCAAAAATTCATGGCTATGGCGATCTTTCGTGGTCCTCGTTATTATGGCATAATACCCGTCGATTGGCGGCTTAGCGACCTTGAAAGGTGAATCTGCCTAAGAACCGGGGAGGGAAGTAGGGAAGCGAAGTCGGCGAGAAGGGCGATTCCATCAGATCTGAAAGAACCTGGAGGTTGGCTGTTATGTAATATCCGATCTGGGGAAAACAGGCAGTTTCCCCCACCATGGCCGTTGGCGCTTATGTATCCGATCTGGGGAAAACAGGTAGATTCAGTCTTCCACCAGAAAACGTCATGGGTTGTTTAACCTCTATCTCACCAGGTCCGCCACTCTCTGGTCTGGTCTTTTGGGGAAATTGGGGGGATTTTTGGTGGCGGCGTACAGAAAAGAGGATTAAAGTGTGATCGCACGAATGAACGAAAGTGTAACTGGTGATATCCAAATTCAATTTGGTTCCTCTGACTCCTCAGACAATAGGTGGGGTTTTGGATTATCCATGGACTTGCTTGATGGGTTCTCTGTTATCCCACGTGCGTTTGCGGGGTTAATTCTGCGGCTTTTTCTGCACACATAATTGGTGTTTTGAATCGAGCAGAACGGTTCTGATGATCTGATCCATTGATTGTCCGCGCTGTGTCCTGCTCCTGCTGCTGCTTCTCCTGTTGGTTCTCCCTGGCAACGATGTTCCACGTGCTGAAACGTGTCCGTGTACTCTTCTATATTGCTGGTGGTGTGTGTATATATTGTTACGTTCGTTTGTCAGAGGCTCGCCGAATATCGAGATCGACGATGCCACTTTCCTGGTCAACAGGGAGCGTACGCTGAATTACCTCAACTCCTTGGAAAAGGTAATCACAACAGCTGACCATACTCATCAAAACAGCTTCCTTGCCATCCGACTCGGTTTTATACCTCCCCCTGTTTGTTTTCTCTCTATTTACGCTGGTCGAGGCAGCAGTCTCCACGATTGTAGCAGTCATCTGTGCCTTCGTCGGGTCTAGACTCACGATTCAATTTTGACCCGGTCTGCGCTCGAGGTTTCTGTCTATTTTCTCTACTCCGTGTTGCGCTCGTAGCGATCTGTTGTGTTGTGTTGTGTGTTTCCGTGATACGCTTCTGTCAAGTTCTGTGTGATTCATGACCCTGTGTGTTTTTTTGTGACCCTTCAAGCTCATTGTCAAACGACATCAGGAAGCAAAATTGGCGGTTGAATTTCGTCACAACGATTCCGAAGTTTTCGAGTGATGATGAGTCACGAGTGTTGCTGATGAAGGCTTGTCTTTTTCGTTTTCCCCCCACTGGTGCATTGCAGGTGTTTGTGAACGATCAGTTCCTTAACTGGGACAAGCAGAACCGCATCAAGGTCCGCATCGTCGCAGAGAGGGCGTACCACTCCCTCTTCATGAGGAACATGTAAGAGATGCCCATCCATTTGCTGATGCTTACGTGTTAACACGCATTCATGAATGCTGCGGCCGTCATCATCTAACCATGAGCAGATGGACGTTTCACTTCTTTTTTTTTTTTTTTTTTTCTTTTTTCTATATCAAGCCATTGAGTTCATGTGTTCATGTTGGACGAGAGTATCCGACATTATGCGAATGGCCACGAAGCACAACATCTTTGGAAGTGGAGTTAGAGACACCTGACTAGCGCTAGAGGGGATAGCGAATATCACAACAAACAATGAGCTTTTCTGTGTTTGTGAAAGAGTCTTCTTTAGTACGTCCGTCGATGATGATGACGACTCAACAAGTGACAACAACAGTGACATTGCACTGACCAGGAGGCGGATATCCAACGACGCCGTTTCGTTTGATGCCATCAAAAGGAGGCAATGATGGATGGATGAGGTGACTGACAGACCTGTCATGACACGTGGCTTCGTTTCGCTGCTGGTCGCAGGTGCATTCGGCCGGAGGCGAGCGAGCTGGAGGGGTTCGTCCCAGATTTCACCATCTTCAACGCCGGCAAGTTCCCCGCCAACAAGCTGACCAAGTTCATGACGACCTCCACTAGCGTGAACATCAACCTGAAGAGGGCGGAGATGGTCATCCTGGGCACGCAGTACGCCGGGGAGATGAAGAAGGGCCTGTTCGGACTGATGCACTACCTGATGCCCAAGCGGGGAATCCTGTCCCTCCATTCCGGATGCAACACCTCGCCCGACGGTCAAGTCTCCGTCTTCTTCGGGCTCTCAGGTAAGCATCGCGATGATGTTGCGATCTCACCTTCGCCCATTCCCTGGGTTCAGGAGAGGGGAAAAGGACAAACATCTGGTCTGTGGATACAAAGGTTTCATTGCGGGGAAGTTTTATGACTTTTCCGAAATATTTGCGGGCGGGCGGGCGGGCGGGCGGGCGAGCGGGCGAGCGGGCGGACGAGCGGGCGAGCGGGCGGGGTCCCACTTTCGTTGCACGAAGTACGTCTTTCTTTTGGACCCCGACAACATGTCCGCTGGGAAACTTGGAAAACGCGCTATTTCTGCATTTACCACCGTAAAGAAAAACAGAAACGAGCTGCGCTGCAGACGTCTATACTAGGGGTGGTTGCTGTTTGGCCCCTTTCTGAAAAGGACACTCAGTCTGAAGGAAGAAGGTAACTGACGAGACACTGTCCGGCTTGGGTTGCAGGAACCGGCAAGACAACGCCGTCGGCCGACCCCCGTCGTCCTCTGATCGGCGACGACGAGCACTGCTGGAGCGACAGCGGAATTTCCAACATCGAGGGAGGCTGCTATGCCAAGTGCATTGACCTCTCAGCGGAAAAGGAGCCAGATATCTTCCACGCCATCCGCTTCGGAACAGGTACACGGGGGCCGCAAAGATTTCCTTGCCCCAAAGCGCTCGTGCGGCGTCGAGTACTTATTTCTTTTGTGCATGTGTTGAAAAAATAGCACTTCTTTTTGCGAATTTCGAAATCCTACCTTCCTTTCTTGTTTTCAAGGTCGCCACCGATGTTATTCTACCCATCTGTCATCTGATTCCCTGGGTAGTTCATTTCATGGTCTGTTCATGAGATCCTGGACAGAATTCGTGCATTCTGCTAACTCCCCGTCGCCTTTGGTTGTCTGATTGGTGTCCTGTGCTGCATGTTCTCACTTCCAGTGCTGGAGAACGTCGTCTACGATGAGAAGACCAGAGTCGTCGACTATGCCGACAAGTCGATCACAGGTACGACACGTCACCTTAAACACAAACTGAAGTAAGGCCAGATTCCTCACGAGCGATTTCGGCCTAGAGAGGTCTGGTCGACTGTCGGTGTCTGCATCCAGTGGGCAGTCAAAAACCTCGCTTGCCGCGGCGGGGTCAAGTGCTTGTATGACATGGTGTAACGAATTTGATATCATACATATTACATCACAAGTCACACCCATAATATTCAACGGCCGTTTTCCCCTTGTGGATTTTCTTTCACTTTGTTGTCTTGTTCGAAGAAGTGCAGCGATCTGCCAGGGTTTTCACCCTACAGGCCGTTCATCTTTGCTGTAAATTGCTGAAGCCTGTCTTTTTTGTATCGCTGTCTCCCTGTGTGTCGCTTTGTGGACAACCCAGAGAATACGAGGGCGTCCTACCCGATCGAGCACATTGCCAATGCCAAGATCCCATGCGTGGGACCCCATCCCAAGAACGTCATTCTTTTGACGTGCGATGCCTTTGGAGTGCTGCCACCCGTCAGCAAGCTCACGGATGCCCAAGCCATGTACCACTTCATCAGCGGCTACACGGCTCTGGTGAGTGAATCCCGACCACCCCGCGCAGTCATTCGTAGGGGATCGCAGTCGTTGGCAAAGTATACCTTGTTCTCTTTTTGGGAGTCGTTGCAGGAGGCTGGCAGGCCTCTATTCGAATTCTATTCGCTGTCGGTCGACTTTCTTCGGCCTCGAAGTGCCAGCGCAGAGTGATGAGTTGAGCTCTTGGGAAGTTACTGATCCCCCCCCCGGCATACAGACGTTTTTGCGGCCGAGAGATCTGGCTGGGACCTTTTTAATCAGTCCAGTTATTGAGAGAGAAACTCGTTTCCACTTGGTTGGGTCGGTCGTTGTTTTGAGCAAATCGCTGTTCGTTAGAGATGCAGCTGCTGTGTTTTGCGTGCGCCCAAATGGTTGCTTCATGCTGTCACTGTTGTTGCTGTCGGCGACGTGCCCCCAAAGAACATCTGGTGGCGAATGGATTTGATGGCTGATCACTGATCAGCGATGCTGCCTTTGTGGCAGGTTGCGGGAACTGAGGTGGGGATCAAGGAGCCCAAGGCCACGTTCTCGGCTTGCTTCGGCGCCGCGTTCATCATGTACCACCCGACCAAGTACGCTGCCATGTTGGCCGAGAAGATGAAGCAGTACGGGGCCACAGCATGGCTCGTTAACACCGGATGGGTCGGAGGCAGGTACGTCACAACACCGCAAGAAGGGCTATAATAACACATATCATATTATAAGAAATGGGCGAACACGTCTGATCGCTGTGTTCCGCAGTATTATATTCTGGGGGCCTGCAAAGAACCTGTTTGGACGCTGTTGGAATAATGACGTGAAAAGATAGACACAAATGCACTTCACACACATGCCTACAAACATACATACATACATACATAAGCCGAGGTGCATGGGTTGCACCTGGCTGTCTGCGTAGGGTTGTCGTCGTTTATATCCGGCTGGTTTCCGTTATCATGTATGTGTAGATGATGCATCTGATGGCAGGCCCGAAAGTAATCGAGAGAGAACGTACGCAACAACGCGAAGGAAATGAATCGCCACTTCGCAAGTCTGTTGAGCCGAGCCGACGCTCCGCAACAATCACTGCGTCGGTTCGGCCCAAATATTGTCTTGCCTGATTGGGATACTCGATCCATGTTTGATTGGTTCAGCGCCTAGCAATGGCGATCTGTGTGATCTAACTCCTTGTCTGTATATGCCTCTGTTTTTTCCTTTTGCCTTGTGTGTGTGTGTTTGTGTGTGTGTGTGTGTGTGTGTGTGTGTGTGTGTGTGTGTGTGTGTGTGTGTGTGTGTGTGTGTGTGTGTGTGTGTGTG